TCTAGGCTGCTCTCCAGCGTCTCATCGCCCAGTCTGTACGTGCAGCCAGGGTTTCCCCGTCCCAGGTGCAGGACCCGGCACTTGCTCTTATTGAACTTCATGCAGTTGGTGATCGCCCAGCTCTCCAACCTATCCAGATCCCTCTGCAAGGCCTTTCCACCCTCAACAGAGTCCACAACTCCTCCAAGTTTGGTGTCAAACATCTCAGCCTTTTGCTCTGTCCTACCAATGGGCAGGCTGGGGGTGCAGTAAGAGCTGGGAGGGGACAGACCCAGGACAGGTGACTCAAACTAGCCAAAGGGGTATTCCATACCATCTGATGTCATGCTAAACAATAGATAGGGGTGGCTAGCCGGGAGAGGGGGCCGGACTGCTCGGGGTGAGGCTGGGCATTGGTCAGCGGGTGGTGAGCAATTGCATTGTGCATCACTTGTTTGTACATACTATTATTAGTAGTACTATTATCACCATTGTATTATTATTATTATTATAATTATATTATTATTATTATTTTCCTGTCTTATTAAACTGTCTTTATCTCAACTCACAGGCTTCACTTTCCATTTCTCTCCCCCGTCCCAGAGAGGGAGGGTGAGCGAACGGCTACGTGGTGTGTAGCTGCCGGCCGGGTTAAACCACAACAGTCTTTTTGGCGCCCAACGTGGGGCTCAAACCCATGACCCTGGGATTAAGAGCCCCATGCTCTACCGACTGAGCTAGCCGGGCCAAGGAAGGACCAAAGGCTGCTGGAGTAGGATCCCCATCCCACCTCCTTTCCATGTCACAGCCACCCAAGATCTCATTGGGAAGGTGCCAGGATAGGTCCCAGCCCACCACCTATGGGAAGGGGCACGAAAACCATTTCTGCATGAGCAGATGTGACAGCAAGGGCATTGGTAGATGGCCACAGGTTTCTTGCCCTGGACCAGTTAATCTAGGACTGAACAAACGAGCCCTTTGTGGTTATTAAACCCATAGACTCCAGAGGGGGGACAAGGTGAGGAGAAGGCAAGGTTAGAAGACAGCAAAGGACATGACTTCAGGTCTTGCTGCTTTCAATTTTGTCACAACAGAAAATTTTGGGGGTAAATTTCTTGCCAATTTGAGAATGAGGACAATGAGAAAAAAAGAAGAAAAGAAAAAAAAAAGAAAAAGAAAAAAAGCAGCACAAACACATAAAGAAATGGGAGAGAGAGACAGAGTGTAGAAAAGTGGGAGAGGGCAAGGGAACAAAAAAAAATCTTAAGAAAAAAAAGAAGGAAAGAAGATGGAAACCCATCCTGACTGGCTGCTCCTTCCCTCCCCATTTCAGCCCCTAGCTGAGCGTTGTTTGCTCAGCCGGCCCCGAATTTTGCTGCTCACACGTGGACTTACCCTAAGAGCAGGGTGTCTACTCCTGGTGTCTCATGTCTTGATTGTGCTGCAATTCAGTGATCAAGAGGAGGAGCTGCCTGCAGAAGCAGGGAGTTAAATTTAAAGCGAGGGAGGGATATTGCTCAGCCTACACATCCTGTAGAAGAGCAGTGGCAGTAGGAACGCCTCTCATGACCAATATATGTAAAGTGACTCAAACCTCAGTGGCTGACACTTGAACACAGGTTATAAATGAATTCCTGATAACAAAAGCGAAAGTAATCCTCTGTTACTTTTATTGAAGAAAGCCAGGGGAAGGAGTTTAAGGCCCCCGGGGTGGGGGAGTAATGCTGCACGTACTGCAGTAACACTTAAAGCACCAATACAACATTTTATTGTCTGAGCTGGCTTGCAAGGACTTGCATGCAAAGTGGGGGTCACAGTAATGTGGCGTTGACTCACCTCTTCCTAGGGCAAAACTGAAGTTTTGAGGATGTTTGAGGTCTGGTGGGCTGCTCAAAATAACCTTTTGTCCCCCTCAAAATAGGATTATCTTTTTGTTTGTTTGTTTGTTTTCTTGTGGGTACAGAGGGCAAAGGGAAGATGGGGCGAGGATGACTCCCAGGAGATCAAGATTACTTTTTCCCCTTGGGATGGGCAAACACACGGCTGGGGGCTCAGAAAGGGAACCTGTTTCCAACTAGTGTGGGTTTACATGGCAGGTTTTGTAGCAGGACTCCACGTCCCAAAGGACATCGAGCCCCATACGGTGCAGCCGAGTCTCTGCACACTTGGGGAGCCTGAAGGACCCTGCCAGGAGCACGAGGGATGGATCCGATGGGGAAAAGTGTGCTGGGGGAGGGAGGATGAAACCATCTGGGCAGCAAAGAGATAAATGACGGGGATTTCCACAGCACTGAGCAAGATGACCCAGGCATTTTGTGGAAATTCAGTGGGAAGGAGGCGGAGCAAGCGGCTGTGTGCATTTGTGCACCCATGGCTGCTTTCCTCATCCCGGACACCCTTTGGCATTGCAAATTGCTCCCTAAAGTCCCCCAAAATGTATTATTACTTTTCCCCAGGCATGTCCCAGCACCTGTGTGGTTAAAGGCGGCTGTGCTGCTGTCGCCGAGCCTCCTCCCAGTCTCAGCCGTGATGTTCAGAGCATCCACAAATTCTGCCTGTGCCAGCAGGGTGTAGCTTCCTCACTGGAACAATTCCCAGGAAATTATTGCATGCTGCATTGTTCGTTATTCCTAATCTCTCTTCTCCCTGCTTCCTCCAATGCTGTGTGAGTAGGGGTGTTACCAAAGCTGTGGATCAGCGATTGTGTGCTGAGAAACGTTTTCTTTTTTTCCCCTTTTAAATACTGCCCTTGCTCTAACCACTCCCCTTGTTAATAAAATATTGAGGAGGGTGGCCAAAAAATAAAAATAAAAAGAGAAGCGCACATTTCCATTAGAAACCTGCCCGTTTGCTAAAACACATATTTTCTCCCAGCTGAAGCTGTGGGCAGCTCTTGGAGACAAAGGAGCTCTGCCAGAGCATGCAGCACACGATGAGAAGGCATTGGAAGCTCTCCATCAAATGCCATATATTCAGGCCATATTTTCTGCTTTTAACCAGCAGTAACCAGAGCGCCAAATTCCTCTGCCGCCAAGGCAGGAGGTGTCTCTAGAAATTTGTGTTATGTTTTCACAGAATGACAGAATTGTAGGGGTTGAAGGGACCTCAAGAAATCATCAGGTCCAACCCCCATTTCCTTTCAAAAAATGACAAATTTTGCAAGAAAGCCATCTTTCAATTTTATTTTTTTTTCTCAATTTTATCTTTAAAGCTAGAGCAGCGTCTCTTCACACTTGGGTTGAAAGAGCACCTTAGGTTGGCCACAGACTGGTGAAAACATCCCTTTATGGAGGAAAAAGGGTTTTTTGAACATGCTGGGTGGCAGCTTTATAGCGGGTTTGCTCCCTGCAAGCGTAAATGAATTTTGCCCGGCCTCAATTCCCCTACTCCCTGCCCTTTGCAAACTCAAGCTCAATTTTAATCCTCTGATTTTTGAAGTTTTCCAGAATTGGGACCTATGCCTGGAGGGAGCTGTGGCTCAGCTGGGGCGAAGCCTCTGTGATCCAGAGCAGCAGTAGTCATTGTGTGTTGCTCCCTCTACCGGAGAAAATAAGGTGATAATAATGTGTTTTGGGTTGGGAAAGGTTTGTGTTTGAGGCGGTCGAATAAAAAGGGGGTTTATAGGTTAGTTTTGGGCAGCTCCAGCCCTAAAAGAGAGGGGGTGAAGCAGGAAAGATGGGACGGGCTACTGGGATGGACCAAGCTCTGGGTTTTGTTGGTGAAGGATGGAGTTTGGAAGAGGAATCTATTTAGAAAAAAAAAAAATAAATCAAACACAGTGGATGCAAAATCATTTGAACCAAAATTTTGGGTGTTGAAAGGACACCTAAAAATCCTCAACATGAATTTGTACAGCCACAAAACGTAGGCAAAGGACAATGGGATGGACGCATCCTTTCTGCTGTGCCCTGGGATCCCCGTTTGGGGCTGTCTGGTAGAGAAAGATGATTTCTCGTCTGCTTTATTTGACCAAAAACCAACCTGCAGAGCAAAGCCACATCCTCCAGTACCTCACCGAGCACGAGGGAGAGCAGAGCGCTGCTGCTGCAGGAGGAACCTCAGGGCTTCAGTTGTTTTCCCCAACCATAAGAGGGGACAAGAAGGGTCTGGGGGATCCGTGCCGAGATGATGGGAGCCGTCACCCCTCGTTGGCATTGGTTGGTGTGTGAAGGTGTTTTGGATTTTGGGATGGGCTGCAGAAAAAGTGGGAAAAGTTGCAGGTTTTTCACCCCATTTCTTCCCCTGGAGCATTCTTCAGCTGGTTCACCACCACCAACCACAGAGGCTTGTGCAACCCCTTCTCCACAAAAACCTTCTCTCAGTCATTAATTCCACCAATTTTTGTCCTCTCCACCCCAAACAGAGGAGACGTTTCACCACTTGCTCTGCAACCCTTGTACTCTTTGCTCTGGAGCAATAGTTTGGGTATAGAGGCTGCGATGTGAGCTCAGGTATCTCAAACCTGATTTAGTTGATAAATCCAGCAAGGTTCATTGTCGAAATAATGACATCCACCTTCTTAATGAGGTGGCTCTTCACTGCCATATTCCCAAAGACTTTTGGTGGAGAAATTTATGGAAAATTGGAAATTTTGCGCCTCCAAAGCCTCAGACATCTAAAGGAAGGGAGATGATGGGGGTGATGTTTGGGGTGAAGCATCTCTTCACGCTTGACCACGATTTGTGAGAATATAAATTAAAATAAAATAAATGAAGGTGCTAACTATGGGTGAAAAGGAGCAAATAAACCAGAGGAACAGGGACGCTAGGACTTAAAAAACAGAATCATAGAATATCCCTAGTTAGAAGGGGCCCATAATTAAACGAAAAATAAAAATAGGAAGGAAATTTCATCCTGGCGTGGACTTCTTGCTGCTGCAAATTCTTTTGCATGAAAAGAAATTTGCCTGGGGGTTATTTAAAAGAGAAAGTTCAGAATCCAAGAGAAACCAAGAAATTAAAAGCCCAGAGGCAGAAGGGCTGAAGACAGGGAGGTTTGGGTTTGGTGGCTTAAAAATTGAACGAAGACACACAACATAACGAGGTGTTAATCTGTTAAATCTTGTCGTGGATGAGGTTCTGAAAAGGTGCTAAACCACCCGCTGCTGCTGTCAAGGGAACAGTTCTGCAGCACTTTTGCAAAAAATGTTAGGGAGGGAGCAGCCGTGCAGATTCTACCCTAAAATCTATTTCATTTTATTTATTTTTGCTAAAATCCCCATCCCTTATACCTGTCCCTGGCTTGCAGAGGTGCTGGAGGCAAAGGGGCTGAGCGCTGGTGGCTTCTGCTTCTTCTTCCCCCCTCCAAGGTTTTACCCTCACCTCCAAAGGTGGGAAAGGGAGAGGTACTGATTATTAAGTGGAATTTTGGGGATAATTGCATGGAAAAGGGCATTATGCTCCCCTCCCCAGCTTGGTGCCAAGGTGCAGAAACCTCTGTGCAAGAAGATAATTGCAATACAAACATGATAATAAATGAGATGAAAGCCCTGCCCTGACCCCGCTCTCCTGGAGAAGAAGGGGTTGCTATTGCTTTTTTAATGCTTTTGATTTTGATATTTCTTTTTGCTATATATATATTTTAAGTTTTATGCTAATTAAATAAAATGTCCTTCCCTTTGCACCTCTCAGAGGCTGCTTCGCTTTCGGAAACCGCTTTTTGTGGGCGGCCTCAGCAGGTTGGGGAGCAGAGGACAGCAGGCGAGGCTCAGACACCCAGCGCCGCTTCACCCAGCTTTACCTCCAGAAAAAAAATATATATATATATATATAAATAATAATAATTTCTTTTTCTGCACCTGGCTCTGCTGCTCCCTGGGGACTGCTGGCGATGGCGTTGACAACGGTTTACACCGACCTGGAGTTGCCACCGGGTCCCAGAGGCATCCCACAGCTCCCAAAGCCTCCGGTGAGTGGATTTGCTTCGTACCCATGGGTGCTGGGGTCCCTCTGGGATTTGGGCCTATATCTTTTGGGGGAGGTGGTCTGGACGCCCTACAAACGGTGCTGGTGCTGTCCCTGGTGCCACTCCGCAGCTGCTGGGCCCTAGAATGGGGCGGGGGAAACACAGGAAGAAGAATTTTTTTTTTTTTTTTTTTTTTTCTGGCCCAAATCCTCATTTTCCTCAAGGATGTTTGCTGTCCACCTCCGCTATGGGGCAGAGCAGCTGCACGAGCAGATTTCTTTCCCCAAATCTCTCTGAAATGTGCTGCAAGGAGAATTTCCCCGAGGACACCGCTACCTGCAGAGCTTTTGCACGCTCCCCTTTCTCACCTCGCTCGAGGGCTTCTGCAAGCGAGCAGCAATTGTGGCTTTGAGCACCCCAAGGCTTCATTTTGGGCCCTTCCCTTGAGCCAGGACCCCCCAAGCCCCCTCCCAGGTGCAGCACGGGGTGCAAGGAGCTGAGCTGCTGTTCATCACCTTGGCCAAGTGAGGGAGGCAGCTTGTGGGTGTTTTTTTTGCTTCTCAGCTCCCCTCCAAGCCACCTTGCAGGATGCAGGGTGAGGGGGGGAGGGGGGACAGATGTGACTGTCCCCATGACGTGGACACCAAACTGAAGGGGTTAAAACAGGGAAGGGATGGTGACGTTGTGGGTTTCTCTCCCAATACAGGTCCCGTTGCAGGTCACCGGTGGTACTGGGTGATAATGGGAACCGGATGGGTTGGGGCCGCCGTCCTGGCGGGCATCGTGGTGTGGCTGCTGCAGCGACACGGTGAGTGGCGGGGTGTCAGGGTGGGGGGAAAACAAATCAAATCCCCCCCAAAAAAGCCATGGCAGCTCCGTATTGCACCTGTATTTAGAGAACATCTCCTGGACACACCAGGTTGTTTTTTTGTTTGTTTTTTTTTGTTTATTTGTTTGTTTTGTGGGTTTGATGCTTGTGCTGCCACAAATCCCTGCTCCCTCTGGCAGCACCTTGCTCCGTCCCATGCTGAGGGTGGCTCCGCACAAGGGTTTCACCCCACTGCTTGCATCCTGGGGTCAAACCCATCCCGCCCCCCAATTTCAGATGGAAACAGCCTCAATCCCACTGGCTCGTGCTCCTGGGAATCCTGCCTGGGCAAGGACACCCCCAGCTCCAACTGCTCCCTGAACTGCTTCCAGCTGGGGCTCAGAGAGCGGCTGTGCGAGGCCGAGAGCCACCAGGCACCAGGTAGCCCACGCTGTTACGGGGGTGTTGGCTTGCTTTGGGCCCCTCCACGCAGAAAACGGGGCCTGACAGCGAGGGAAAGCCCCCCTGGACTCCCCATCCTGCTGCTTTCCCTCCGTGTTGTCACCTTTATCCTTCCCCTCTCCATGCACCCCTCTTTGTACCTTCAACCTCTGCTCCTATCCCTCCAACCCCAGCTTTCCCCCCAGTTCTCATAAAGACTTTTATCCTAAAAAACAAAACAAAACAAAACAAGGGGTTGAGAAAAGCTTGGGAGGGCCCTGGGGAGGGGTCTCCCAGCTTCGCCCCTACCCAGCTCACGTCCCCAACCCCTGCCCAGGTGCCGAGGGCTGCTGGCTCTGCCCTGCGGGCTGGCAGCCCTTTGCCACCAAATGCTACTGGGTTTCTGCAAAAACCCTGTCCTGGGAAGAGGCAGGAGGTGACTGCAAGGACAGGAGGGCGGAATTGGTGATGCTGAAGAGCGTGGAGGAGAAGGTAAAGGACCAAAGAGAAAGCATCACGACCCCAATCAGATTTTTTTGCAGCTGATGCTGCCTGCCCAAGTTGCAGAGACAATCGGATGTCAGGGAAAAATAAATAATAATAAAGAGGGGGGAATAATAATGATAAAATAATACAATAATAATAGAAGGGGGAGAAAAGAGGGATGGAGGGGGTAAAAAGGGGAGAAGGGGAAAAAGGGGTGAAGGGGGGAAAAAGAGGGAGGGGAAGAAAAGGGAGAGAAGGGGGGAAGAAAAGGGGAGAAAAAGAGGATAAGGGGGAAAGGGGATAAGGTGGAAAAAGAGGGAGAGTGGGGAAAAAGGATGGGGGAAATGGGGAGGAGGAGAAAACGGGGAGAAGGGGGAAAAGGAAGAGAAAGGGGGGGAAAAACAGGGAGAAGGGGTCTGCTTCCTCCTCCCCTAGGACTTCATTGGCCATGAGCAAAGAATACCAGGGAGCTGGACGGGGCTCAGCACCATCCTACTCACGGCGAGGAGTGGACGTGGATGGATGGATCCCCTTTGCAGGATGATTCGTGAGTTGTTCCCAGCCCCGTGCAAAAACCCCATCCCAGGAGAAATTTGGGTTGCTCACCCCTTCCTTGACAGCAAACTCCCCCCAGAATCCTTCCAGAGCTGGTGGGGAGCAAATGAAATTTGGGCAATGCGGGCCCGCAGCCCCCAGCTGCTCGGCAAGGAGAGGAAAAGTGATCAAAGCATTTTTCCTACATATTTTCCCTGTAATTTCAGGCAGGGAAATTTCAACTGGTTAAAAAGGAGATGCCCCAATCCGGGATATTTTGCAGCTGGGGTCCTCCTGTAGCCACATTGACTTTGATATCCAAAAAAAAAAAATAGAGCTTTTGGGAGAGATAAATATTTATTAACAAAGCTGAGGGTGTATGGGGAGGAGAAACGAGTGTTTTTTTTGTGTTTTTTGTTTGTTTGTTTTGGTTTGTTTTGTTTGTTTTTTTTTTTTTGTATTTTTTGTTTTTTTTTTGGTTTGTTTTGTTTTGTTTGTTTGTTTTTTTTGTGGGGCAAAAGCTGGAAAATTGCTTTCTCTGGAGAACAGGAGGCAAACAGGGTGGTACACTCCAAGCTGAACGGCTGACTTGGTTAAACTTTTTTGGGGGGCTAAACAACCATCTGAAGAGATGAAATGTTGCTGCTGGAAGCAGCATCCAAGCGCTTTCTGTTGTGCTGACTAAAATCTTGCTTACGGTGCTCCCCAGGCTGCAGGTGATGGGGGAAAGGAAGCGAATGCCTGTGCGGCGATATCGAAGGGGCAGCTCCGCTCCCACTGTGCAGCACGCCGTTGCATTGGATTTGCCAGAAAGAGGCCACTAAGATTTAAGCACAGCTTCAACTGAGGGAGCCACGACAAGGCACAAACGGGATGGGACACGGCACCGGGATGCCAAAAAGTTGCTCCAGAGCTTCGAGGCTGGTGGCTTCTCCCAGCTCTGCTTCGTTCTTCCACTTTCCCTTTCTCCTCCTATATCTGAATCCCACAAACAAGGGCATCAAGCCCTCAAGCTTCAGAGTGCTGGACAAATGTTTTTTCCAAACCTTTTGGATATTCCCAAGTCTCTCTGCAACTGCTACAAAGACGCGAGTGGCTGAAGGATCCTTTTATCCCAGAGCTCCACGCTGTTGTTTCGAGGAGTTTCTACTTCTGCAAGCTGAAGTTAAAATAAATTAATACTTATTTTTTTAAATAAAGCACCGTCAGGAACCCTACACAAGGGGGTTTAATGATAGCAGCTTTCTCTTCGTCATCTTCACGGTGTAAATTCGGAGGCGACTCCAGGATGCAGGAGGATGCTGCAGGGGGCCACTCAGGGCTCTCCTCCAACTATGCTCCCCTGGGGCTCTGCAGGGGGTGGCTGCAGACTGAATACTTCTGCTGGGAGCACCAGTCACTGCTGACCCCAGCCAGGTTGATGTAGGCACATTGGCCATTGCCCTTGATATCGAACCTGCACAGAGTAGCAGAAGGAGAAGTCAAGGGGCTGAGCATCTCCCACATAAGCAAACGGTGCTGGAAGGAGGAGGAGGAATCCTTTCCAGCGGACAATGACCCCTATGCAAAGCTAAGTCTGCCCCCTTCCATGAAGGAAGGAATATTTTTGATTGATTAATCCCATATGGGTTCATCCAGGGATGCCCTCTGCATCCACAAGCTGCTTCCCAGTGTTATATATGGAATGGTAATTCGTGTCGAGAAAATGGTTGATATTAATAAAGAAGGGGGAGATTTGAGAGTGTGGCCATGGGGGTCAGAAAGCCCTGTGGTTGAGATACCATTAGACTCTTAACGACGAGGCCATCAGGAATATAAAAAAGATTAGAGGGAACAAAGAAGGGTGATTCAGGAGACTCCATGCAGTCTCTGGTTTCTTGTTCTCCAGATGGTCTCTTGTTCTCCAGTCATTAAGGCATGGATGTTTCTGGGTGTTTGCTGTTGTTGTTACATTCAAAGTTGTCTGACCAATGAAAAGTTGTTTTGAAAAGAACCGCTGTGGAGAGAAGGGTATAAGAGGGGAGCCTGTCCTCAAGATGAAAAAGGCAACACTATGTGATGAAGTTATGTCATCAATAAAGAAGCAGAAAGAAGGAATGAAAAGGAACAGGCTGGCAGAATGGAGACCAGGACGGGAACAGGCACACTGATCGCCTCATGAAGATAGGTTCGGCCAAACTCAGCAAACTGCTCAGAGAATCTTGTACTGAAAGTCACTGGAAACAGACGCACTGGAGCTGGAGAGAAGCTCAGGCTGAGAGAAGCGGACCCGTGCACACAACTGCCCCTCGCTGGTCAGCAGCTGCGCATTATGGGGAATCATACGTCCTTAGGAACAAAGACTGTCCTGGTAACCTTACAGCTTATTCTCCTTCTTAACAATTGGACAGTTTATGAGCCTGAAACGTCGGACCAAATTGAGGTCAAGGTCTGGGACTCTGCAACTAAAACCGACAAGGTTGCAGTGGGATTGCTGGGCACCTGGCGAGCAATCCCTGAGGCCTTAAAGAGCCATGTGGAGCCACAATTCACAAACATGTGGTTTACCAGACAGTGAGGGAGCTGCGGGCTCCTTTGCTGATCCGATTGCTAGGGCATCGGTCCTTCTGCCGCTACAGCCATCGAAGGCTTTTGTTGTTACGCCCCCTGTTGGCCTAAACGTGCCTTTTGACCCAGGCCTCATTGGCTTGAAAAGGAGATGGATATGCTTTTCTTCGATCCGGGAAGAACGGGAGACATAAGGTCCAAAGACCGATTTGCTTGACAACTTAAAGCGAGTCATTGTTCAAAAGGAATGGAAAATGGACACTGTTAAGTCATGGAAATTAAAGGATTGTTTGTTACCTTTCCTGATTGTACATATGTATAGGTATATTCGGGTTTAGTATGTAAAAGCGATGTTCTATATATTTAGAATGTTTGCTGTTTGTGTGTGCATGTTGGTGGAGCGTAGACTCCCCGCACACCCAGCACTGTTTAATTGCCTTTTATACCTTTTATAAGTATAAATAGTATAGTATAGTATTATAAATGAAGTCTCAACTCAATCTGAATTTGTTAATATTTATAAAAGCTATAAAAGGTATAAAAGCTATAAAAGGTATAAAAGCCTCATCATTAAGAGTCTAATGTTATCTCAATCACGGGGTTTTCCAACCCCCATGGCCACACTCCCAAATCTCCCCCTTCTTTATTAATATCAACCATTTTCTCAACACAAATTACCACTCCACATATAACAACTCAATATATAACAGGGGCATTGAACGGTTGTGAGCTGTGGCAGGAAGCTCCAGCCCCGCCGCTGGTTTGCACTTCACCAGTACAGCTCTGAGCATTTGGGTTTCCTGTCCTCTGGACTCCGTTGTGTCCCCTCCACCTTCTGCGTGTCCTTCTGCCATGGAGGATGAGGATGGCTACATGGCCTTGGACAGGCGATGCAAGCGGGGTGCTGCGGAGAGGCCGGGACCCCTCCAGGACGCAGGTAGCGGGGTCCAGTCCTCCGTCCCCACCATGGGTTTGTGGTGGCGAGAGGATACCCCGGGTGGCGATTGCTTGGCGGGGGGAAGAAGCGGGGTGGCGCAGCTCTTGGGGTCCCAGAGAGTCCCTCAAGCTGGGGAAACTGTGAGGTGGCTTACAGGGGATGCTTGCCTTTGATAAAATCAGTATTGTGGAACAAAAATGGTTTTGCACCAGAACTGGGAACAAGGGCAAGGACAGGAAATGCCACAGGGGTGGTTCCATTGCTCCGTGAGGGCTAGAGATGGATGAAGTGTGAGAAAAGAGAGAGAAAGGAAGCATTTTTGGGACCTCTGCTCTACGGTACCCCCTTGCATGGCAAAGTACTCCGCAGTACACCCCCATTTTCTAGAATCATAACGTTGGTGTGTACTACCCCATAGGAGGTCAATTTCTGTACCACCACACTTAAGGGGAATAGGAAAAATGGGCAATAAGGTTCCCAGGGGACAGGGGGATATCCCTGGGACAGTGCCTACCGAGAGTCCTGTAGGAAGAATGCTAAGGAATCGGTTGCAGCAAGGTTTGTAGCTCTGAGGGAGCATGGGAGGATGGGGAGAGCATGCAGGGCTGATGCGTGTCTTTTGAAGGCACCTGCACTTGTTTGAGGACCTCCAGATGGATTTAGAGGTGGCTGCATGGTAAAATTCAGAGTCTGCCCTCACCCACCCAAAAACCCTGTCCAGTGCCCATCCCACCAATGCCCCACCAGAGCCAGATCTTGCTTTCCCCCAGCATTACCCCATTTATATTGTTTTTCTTCATCTCTTGGAGGAACTTCTTCAAATAGGAAGATTTTGAAACCAGGCTATCCAAACTAAATGTCTTG